AAATCACTTCTAAGGATACTATAAACAGAATAAACGATATACTATTACTGTTATTAATATTATAGGTACGATATTGTAAATAACACATAGTCCGTATAAAATAAATAAAAATACCTATAAAAAGAAAAAAGAAAAGAATGATGAGTGGGGTTAAAATGTATATGCAATAAAAAATTGTTAAATATGCTTTTCATTTACCAAAATATGCAAAAACAAATTTTTTAAATATTTAAATAGTTTTTTTGGAAATTGCATTTTTCAAGTTCTTCACACATTAGAGATAGGGACGACTTAGAAGTTAGAATAATAATTGTCTTCACGGAGAAGACCAACTACGAGATTACAAATTATATCGACCATCGTCCGTTGCCTCATAAATTGACCAAATTGGCCTTCAAAAAGATTACAAGAAATAGTATTTTCATAAACTGTTGAAACATAATTTTTGTGAATTGTAGACTGGTCAGGAACACATTTCCCAGTATATATTAAGTAAACAATTCTTAAGCCATGGATGATTTAACTTCCATAAAGGGAATATCAAATTCTATAACATTGCTTGACATAAATCTAGAGGACAATATTTGATTGTTTATTTTGGTTTTCTTATGTATTTTTGATGAATGACTGTTTAGATTTAGATTTTAAATTAATATATTTTGTATGCTTGCTTGTATTTAAATGTTGTACCTATTACCTGAGAAGGTAATTCTATCGGTCATCCGACCAAGATAAGATAGATAGAGATTATATAAGTAGTAGGTAGGTATATTTACGACAATTCGACAAATAACTAAATAGTTATAGACGTTCCTTAAATAAATATCATTTAAAATTAACAATATTATTAAAACTTAGGTTTATAAAAATCAACGAAATTAACAAGATCCTCAAGATTCTCAAAAATCTATATAATATACAATCATAATAATTATGCATTATGTTCAAAATATGCAAAAATATGCAAAAAAAAAATGGTTCTATTTAATTAAGAATAAGCCAAATCGTGGACATATCTTACAATCAATTTGGACTTAAGGGGATTCGACGCCGTGATTATCTGTTTTTGTCTAACACACTCGTGACATAGTATTTTAGTCGTGTTTTTTGCCAAACATACCAATTGATCTAATGAAGCGATAAGAATTCTGAAAACAGATTTGAATATGACGTCAAGTACTAAAGTCTACTAGAATTTACTTGCCCGGTTTTAGATATTATCCCCCAAATTCCTAAAAATGTCATATCAAAAATTGTTGTATTTCAATTTTTGGAGAAAATAAAATCAAAAATGTGGGAAGTCCAATCTCAAGTAGATTTGACGAAAAATTCAAATCTGTTTAGAGAATTCTTGTCACTTTATTAGATCAATTGGTATGTTTTGCAAAAAACACGTCTAAATACTATGTCACGCGTGTGTTTAACAAAAACAGAAAATCACGGTATCGAATTCCATCATACCTTTACGGTATAATATTATATTTTTACACTTGTAAATAACATATTTATTATAACTATTATCCATATAGAAGCTGCGTTTAAGATCAATAAAAAAATGTATAATTATAATAAGAATTTAGAAGTCCATGATAAATTATAATATTATTTAAGATAATATATGGATAACATTATTTGAAAACACCACCTGAGACTTGAGTAGTTGAGTGTATGCCTTATGAATTATGATAATAAGTATTAGAAATATGTTAATTGTTAAGTATAGTGTTGCACTATTGCATTATTCCTCTAACCTCTTAACTTTACTTAATAAACTGAAAATTAAGGTAATATTTTAAATATTTTAAGCACCTAAGGCCTAAGGGGGCCCCTTCAGCCCCCATAACCCCCTCTTCCTTGTACCCGTGCCAGCATAAAACCATTTTTAGCACAAAACGTATAGAGTTTAATAGCTCAGAAATTACTCTTTCAAATATTGATTTAAATGCATCCACACAAAAAAAACTGCAGGATACTCCTTAACTGCGGTATTAAGAAGTTTAAATATCTAAAATTAAGTGTACTTAAAATTTCCGAAAATTAGAATTTGAACAAATGCTTAATTTTAAAGGATAACGTGGAATGAACGTACGATCGTTGAGTCACCCTGTACATTGGTACCAAGGTACTTAAAATAGTTTAAAAAACTAAGAAAGGTATATGTTACCGCTACCTATATATGCTATCATCAATTCCACGTTATGCGCGAGCACGCTGATTACAATTATATTATTATGTAATACAGAAACCACGGAATAAACACGAAATATCTCTTTTCCGAAAAAATACGGAATGATTCATTTGAATTTCGTATCCGCCTCTATATTAGTTGTATTATTACCGTCCGTTATATTTAAAAATAATAAAATATGATAATCACCATTTTTCTACACACTCGCGTGTGTATAATATAATACCTACCTAGTAGCAGCGGTATATAAGCTGCGAGGTCTATAATTTTATTTCAACTTACCTATACCCGCAAACTTCATCTAGTATGTATTATATTATATTATATAGGTACATATCATTATACTATTATAACAGCTATTTATATGTCTAGTCATAGTTTGACTGGATTAAATTATTTTTTCGCTTGCGTTATATCACATTATATTGTAGCGTGCGTGTTTTTAAACGTGTTTAAAACAAATTAAAGACAATAATAATTATGTACATAATATGTTTTATATACACACATCATATATATATGCAAGCGTAATATATTATGTTCCCCTGGTTTGAATATTTTTTATGCCTGACATAGAAACAGAATGTTTAATATAGGTAAGTGGATTATTTGTTCCGAATATAATATATTCAAATTCGTTATCACGGTTTAAATCTTTCGAAATTGAAATAAAAAAATCATTATACTATATCTGTTACCTATAAATAATTGTAATACAAGGCTGAATGTTTTTTAAGCTTTTTTACGTAGTGTGGCGACCGTCTGAAATATTCAGTAGGTAGTGAAAAATAAATAGGTTAAATTTATTAATTTATGTAAATTTAATATAGCTGTACAAATATACAATATGAATAGATACATAATATTACAAAGATCATAGGATTATTACCTAATATCTAGGTATAATATAATAAGATGATGTGTGTAATATCACATTGACATCAACGTACGTTTTGGGACTTTACGCGTGTAGTAAATTATATTATTTTGATTTTGTTTTATAATAATAAATTGTACATCTATAATATAATAGGTAAGGAAGCTTTTAATTTATTAATTAAAGTTTTATATCATTGCAGTATTGCACTCATTGCACACCATTATGTGGGAGCTATGAAACGTAGGTACGGAAACAAACGTGTAGCAATATAAACTTCACAATGATTTGTAAAGTATGACAAAACTAAAAACATAGGCGAACTTATTACAAACTGCAAAACACAATCCTACACGTTAACGCATATGTGGTCCAACCAATATACCGTAGTCCAGCAATTATAATACCACACCACCGACTGCAGATTAGTGATGGGCCACAAATTTAAATGCTGACAAGCACTGACCAAAGGAAAAACTGTAGTTACCACGAGTATAACGCAATAATCAGCGGTGGTCACCGCGGTCAGTCCAGCGGACTGTGGTATACATTTGGTGACTGCCACGATTTTTCATTCCTCAGTAGGCACTTACTGATCATCAGCTTATATAGCGAAAAGGAGGTTGACGATTTTTCTCCATCAGGTCCGTCACCCCATTAAATATTATCGATTGAACAGTTTTACGCGACATAATTCGTTAATGCGTACTTAAAATAGTATGGCCGTGTGGTACAACGAAATACCATGAATCTTGTACTCATATTTGCAATAGTATTGTGATTTCTGGTTCGATTAAAAAGAAAAGTATCGCCCGTTTCCCGAGGATTAACACGTTGACGGACGTGACCACTGCTGATTCTGCTGATGACCGTAATTTGGAAGTCATTCTGATTGTATGTACATAATATAGAGTTTTTAGACATTTTTTACAATATTTGATTTCTTTTTTGCCCGAATTGTTAATAACTCACAATATGACACTAGATGATTTCCAATGCGGTGAATCCATAAGAAACGCAACTGCACTAGCAGTTGGGCCATTTTACGACTTTAAATATAGAACTGTTATTATAGCAGTCACTGTCATATCACGGCTTATTTTATTATGACTGATATAGTAGTGACTAGTTACTGTCTGTCAACGTGTTAATATGCAGTTCCACCATTGTTTTGTGTAAAACTAGCCCTGGTTAACGGTTTAACATCGTTACCACGTCTTGACCGCTTACCATAATATATACTAAATATAGTTGAAAATATTCAACTACTTCACCGTGTGCCGTGTGGTTAGGTGGTAATTAATGACTAGGTAGTGAAATACTGAAATCGTTTTACCTAAACAATTTTATTTAATTTGGTGAATATCAACATTCAACTAAATAACGAAATATCACGAACCCAATAATGGTGATAGTTGAATATATAGTATCTTAATACGAGCCGAGGGCTACGAGTCAAGGTAAAAGGGCAAAACGTACGCATGTCACCTATACCTACGCATATTTTATTCTCAGGTTCTTTGAATAATATAGGGATCCTATCAAATCAGGCGTACCTATATATTAAATTTATTCGATATCAGGTATCACGTAGAATTAAAGGTATTAATTGTAGAGTACTAACAAAAAATAAGTTAAATTTGTTTTTACCCCGAAGTTGTGTAACCTACCTATAAAGAGCTTTATTATCAAAATGGCTTCCGGCATAAAAAAATCCTAGATCCACCACTGTCTATACATATGAAGTATTTATGGTTATTACTCATTGGTTACAGGTTGGACCTTGGTAAAAGAGTCACGTATGGCAAATTTTAAAATAATATATAAATGCAAAAGATTATTTTGGATTATTGGGGGGGGGGAGAGGGAGTAGTGTTGTTTTTTTAATGACTATAATTGTATTAATAAAATGACACTTACTACTACTCGTAAGCGCTACAGGCTATACTGACCCTTGGCTCCCAAAACAATTCTTCTCCACTCTTCCCTATCTTTAGCAATACTTCTCCAGTTCCTTATACCCATCTGTTGTAGATCTTTCTTTACTTCGTCTATCCATCTACTCCTTGGTCGTCCTTGTCTTCTGGTTTCTTCCATTCTTGCCAACATTACGCGTTTGGGTATTGTTTCCTCATCCATTCTTTCCACATGGCCCAACCATCTGATCTTGCCATAAAATGACATACTTATTGTCTAGTAAACTAAATTTACATATCTTACGAGCTAAGAGTGGTATTGATGTATTGGGCTATGCATTTTGTGCCGTAATGGAAAGTTCCCAGTATTACATGATGGTTTATAAGGGTAGTAAATAAAAAAAATCGAAGGATGCTGGTTCCAAAAATCGTTGGACAAATCTACAAACAATTTAAGGATAACGATGTTGATGTCCACCAATATTTGAGAGAATAAAATTTTCAACTCAATTCACTTATAGAAAAGCCCTATTTGCGCCTATTTTACAAAACGATGCAACAAACAAGACTCATACAAGAAAACAGTTCAAAAAATGTTTGATGCATCAATAACTCGTTAATTTTCTTTCAAAAAATAATAGAAAATATATTTAACAACGCGTTTAAGCTTACGTTATTATGATATAGGTACAATATTACATTTATATAATATACCTACTTTAATAAATATAATACCTACGTATTTGTGTCTATACCGTCTAAATCTAATAAAAGTTTTAAGTATATTGGTAGGTATGAGGTAGGTAGGTATACTTATAACTTACTTATAAGTTATAACATACCACAACAACGATGACTTGTACAATTTGAAAGTATAGTTTTGATGTAGAGCGCGAAAAAATAAATAAACATTTTTCTCGGGCCACAATTTTAATATACCTTATTTTATTTTAAACAAACAGTATTAACCATAGAAGATTTAGTTTATTATTCATAAGTCATAACTGTTAGGTTTATTAATTTAACAAGGTATCTACAAACAAACAACGTTTTAATCCTCAGGTTCAAGTCCATAGGCACTATCTTAGTTCGTGTTTTTCATACAAATTATAAATCTTTACTCTCGGCCACAAATTATGGCCCGCGGGGTTCCGACCCCTGATTTACATTATTGATTTTGTACAATATATTATGATTTATAGTGTAAACTATGTCAGGCAGTGGCGTATATACAAATTATTTTCAGTATGGGCCAATTTTGACACTATTTAAGCATAGCACGACTAACATAGCCATAACTATAGGTACATATTTTAGGGAGCTGGTTGGTTATATAATTATGAAATATACAATAAAAATAAAAATTGCGCATATTATATAATTTTATAATTATGTAAAATTAATTCTTTAATTCTTTTTTTAAAAATATTGACAATTTCATATATATATATTTTAATGTTATCTAACTGGGAATTTAACATCAAAGTCATCAAAGAAAGTCCTGACAATCATTTCCTTGTTGATTCCTCAAAAACGATTTTAATCAACTGGCTAAATTAATCATGGTGAAAAACAGTAAACAGTGTAGATATACATGAAATGCTTTAATTGAATTTGCCATTTCACTATGGGCTCTAGCCTAGGGGACCACTGATGGGAAGACTTATTCATCTGTATGTTATAGTACAATTTGTTTTTCGATAAAGTAATAATTAATGATATTATAAATTTAGATTTATTCCATTTTCGATTACTATATTATATTAGGTAATATATAGTGAACCATATTAAGTAGTTAGCCTACGGTTACTAATAGATTACGAGATAATATGAAAGTACTTATACGCATATAAATTTAAAAAAAAATATGTTTAAATTACAATATCGAGTTTTATAGACATTGTTATTTATTCAGTCGTATGTACCTAGTAATAAGGATATGCAGCGTGCAATAAATAGGGTACCGGAGTGATTGAAATGATTTATACATAAATTATAATAAAATACTCACGTTTATAATAAATAATAATATAGAAGATGATGTGCTCAAAGAACTCATATTAATGGTATAGGTAAACGCGTAATATTGTAATAAATAATGATGTAGGTAACTAAATTATATAGCAAAGTGATACAATTATTTTTCTTATCTCTAATACCTAAAAATATATATAATATTTTCAGTATACACAGTTGTAGAAATAAAGCATCTCTCTACAATTTAAAAAGTTTTATAGCCTATAGGTATTTAATCAAACTTATAAAAACTTTTTTAACTTCAGTAATCCTTCATTTTACAATATTGTACAAACAAAAACTTCCTGTTATAACTTACGCATCGTAGAAAACATATTTTTGATACCTTTGGATGTTGATGATAATATCTAGACACGTGGTAGGCCAAGTTCTAGCTAACAGAACTGGAGAGCAGCACCGTGTGTAATATTACACAAACCAGTTGGGGTCACTTTTGACCCCCTCATAACTCAAAATATATTCCCTATACACATATAAAATTTGGCTTATATATTCAGACTTACGAGATACATATGTGCTCTAAATTTCATAAACACACCTCAAACCGTTATTTAGATATTAACGTCCCAAAATCGTCATTTTTATCACTCACTGACTGCCTGACTGACCAATAGATCAAAATTCTAACCCAGTTTCAGATGACCTAGAAAGTTCAAATTTGGCATACAGATAGGTAGTTATGTTAATACAAAGGAAAAAATCAGAAACTTTAAAATTTTTAATTTTTTAATCAATTGATTTTATTATAATTTTTCAATTATTTGATCCATTATATTTGATTTTTCAATTAATTAATTAAGTGCCTCTAATTTAATGTAATGTAATGTTGACTTAAATAGCTCAGCTAACCTTTCCCGTATCACAACTCCAAAAATACGTCCAGTCGAATATGTGTCGATATTGGCGACCCACGCGCAGCAACATACTTTTTTTTTCTATGTATGTAATTAATATTAATTTTGAAAAAAATTAAATAATTAATATTAGGATTACGAATGACCCACCCACCAGTAGAAATTATAGTAAATAAAATTATTATAATTAAAAATAAAAGAGATAAAATAATTTTATATTTTATACTCTGTATACAACAGAAAATATTTTATAATAAATATTATTAATGATAGTAACTGAATTATAGTATATAATAGTATGTATAATAGTATATATTATAGTATTATAGTATACATATTATAGTAATAAATTGTATTTATAGAATACGTCATGGCTAGGTTAGATTAGGTTATAATAATTTACATTCAAAAAGTAATGATATCCCACCGAAAACATATATGTAAAATACTAAAATGAGAGCCAAGTTCAATACTATAATATCAGTGGCGTCATTTCAGTTTTCAGTAGAGGGGGGCAAAGGTTTTGACCGGCCCGAATGTGTAAAAAAAAACCGCTCGCTTCGCTCGCAACCGCATTATATCTACTTACATTTTTATCAAATTACCATACCCAACCTCACTTATTTGTAATTATACTCAATAAGATTTTTTTTTGGTATAATTTTTACAAGCTTATTTATTAACTGGTTAATAACAAAATGTACAAATATATTATAGCAGATATTTTATAAAAACATCTGTACAATCCTATACCAATTAAAACTCTGTAAACTATTAAATATAACAATTTTTATTAATTAAGAAAAATATTATTAATTTATCAAAGGATATCTTCTTTTTTTAATTTTTGAAAATATATCAACCGCATCATCTAAATTAATTTTACCTGATACATCACTTTCCACCGCAATGACCAGTAAATCACTCAGCCGTTCATTTCCCATTGTTAGCCGTAGATGGGTTTTAACTAATTTTAGAGAAGAAAAGAAGCGTTCATTGGATGCAGTAGTCACAGGCAAAGTCATAAGGATATTTATAATTTTAAGAGTTTCTTGAAAACCATTTGGAAGTTGGTTTAAAATTTTTGAAATAGAATAAAGGTCATGAATTCCATCATCTCTGTCTATGTTTACATGATTTATTAAATTTTTTGCAGATGGAAATTCACATTGAAGATTTTCATAATTAATTTTAAAATGTTTATAATGATCAATAAAGGTAACTAAATGGGGACTTTTTAAATTAAAATAATCAATACTAGAGGATGAGAAAATGTTACAAGTAAGAACTATTTCATTACTAGGATTGCTGAAGCGATGGTTTAGTTCATTCAAAAACCTAAAACAATAAAATAAAAAATATATACTATCAAATTAATGCAGATAAAAGTAGTTAGTTTTTCAATTAAATGATACTTATTAATAATTTTGATTTAAGTTTTTACCTGTCAATTGCAGTATAAAAAATAATTTTTATATCACTCAATGGCAAGTTATTTTCAATTGATGTATTGCTATTATTTTCATAAGTTCCTTGTCCTATTGTTGATTGAACAAAAAAATCTTGAAGATTTCTATTTAATCTCACTGGTCTTCTATTTCTTGAACTATTTTCATAGACTATTTCATTTTTTTCAGCAACTAATTTTGCGCTGTTATTAATTTTATCCCAAAATGTATCGTTACGCATTTTTTGGATATTTTGCTTCGTATTTTGTAACAAATTAACCGCTGAAGATTGTATAATACTTGCGCCTTGAAGTTCTACTGAAGCACAGTGAATAGTTTGTAATAAAATCTCCATAGCATGAGAAGTTTTTATAAATGAAATATTTGAAAATTCTTTTAATATACCAATAGCTCTTGCAGTTTGATCTCCCTGATGACTCAGTATTGATAGAACTTCTAAAATTTCAGTAAAACGCATATTAACTTTTTGTATTGATTTATACCAATATGCCCATCTTGTTTCTACCAACCGCTCCAAATGAATTACAGGTATTTGTTTATCTTTTTGAGCTCTGACAAATAGCTCATACCTTATCTGCCCATTCATTAAAAACTTATACAAGTTTTGAATTGTATTGAAAAAATTACATAAGTGGGGTATATTTTGTAGCGTTTGAACTAAACATAAATTTAAACGATGAGCATAGCAGTGGACATAAATGGCATGAGGAACTTTGGAGCGTATTCTTTCTTGAACACCGGAATACTGCCCACTCATAACAGAAGCTCCATCGTAGCATTGTCCAATACAGTTCATGATATCCAATTTATTTATTGATAGTATTTTAATTATTTCACTTGCCAAACTTTCAGCATTTGAATTTGCCATGTGGTAGCAACCAATTGATCTCTCACAAATATTTGATTCTTTGTCTACAAACCGTATTAAAAAACTCATTTGTTCTTTTTTTGATAAGTCTTTGGTTTCATCAACCATAATTGTATAAACGCCAAACTTATTCATAGAACTTAATATAATCTGCCTTGTACATTGAGCTATACTACTTATAAAATCATTTTGATACTCAGGACTAGTGTAGTGACCGTAACGTGCCTGTAATCGTAATTTTATTTTATCATCAGCAAACATATCTAACATTTCTAAAAAATTCCCTTTGTTTTTAGAAATATCAGACTCATTATGTCCACGAAATGCTAAACCCTGTTTTGACAGAAAAAGTGCCGCCTTTAGTAAGAATTTTAAGTGTTCTCTATTTTCAATAATATTTTGTTGTCGTACGTTATTAACTTGATTAGCGATAGATAGTGAATGGTTTTTTTTAACTAGAAGATAATCGTTCCAACGCTGTACACAAATAACATGAGTCTTACATTTCTGATGATTGTTCAAAGATAAGGTCTGTTCCTTCCAAATTTTACATTTTGAACCATAATTAACAAAACATAAATTACCAGCAGTTTTTCCAGAGGCTATAATGTTGGCAGAAAAATGACGGCATGGAAAACAGAAAATTTCATCTTTTGATACAGAATACTCTATCCAGTTGTAAATTTTATAATGTCTACTTGTAAATCGTCGACCATTGGTAGCGGGGAATAACATTTCTGGCTGAACTAGTTCATCATTTTTTGATAAAGATATATCATAATTTTCTTGAAATACATTTGTAGGCAATTGAACCTAAGCACAAAAAGTAAATGTTAGTTTTAACTTCTTCAATTATTTTAAATTAGGTAAATATATAATATGCTGTGAGCAGGGACAGATTTAAAAGGGGGCAGACTCAGTCACTCAGCACTCAGAGGGCCAGAGGCAGAACATAATGGTTTTTTTATACACCCAAATATAAAATAAAATATACAGGTAGGTACTATAAATATTATTTTTCAATACAAAAAATTGATAAAAATACAATTAAATATAAATAAATTGTTTGACTATACTTATGAATAAAATATTATTTGATACCTATGTTTTAATAAGTTTTTACATTAAATATATAAAAATAAAAATATTTAATATAAAAAGGATTTTTATTTCCTATCACACATAAAATTACTTAGTTATGTAAAGTAAATGTGCTGATTTTTTAAATTTGTAATAAATAAATAGTACCCTGTACCAAACCTATTTCCTATAAACAATATTAAATGTATTATGCATATTAAAAATAATTTGTTTGGATTAACAGAAAGTTAAGGAATTATTCCTAAAAGTAATCCACTTAAGTTCTAATTTAGCACCCCTTGTTTTCTAAGAACTATCATAATTATAATTAAATACCATCAATCTTATGTTTTCAATACTTTATCAACCCCACGTTTTAGAGGTCTAGTTTCACATATGAAAATAATCCTTAAATAAAAACATAATGTACGCAAGTTATTGTATATTTGTTTGGTACTTACTGGATCACACATGAGTTGTTTTTCAATTGTAGGAATAGAAACATCAACTGCTGATCTTGGCACAACATCCTAAAATAATGAGAAAGTTAAACATTTGTTTATAAATTGATATTTTCAATAATTTTGTTTTTACTAAACTTTAAAAAAATGTCATACCATATTGTCCATTCTATCATCTTCATTTGTAAATGGATCTGGTTGTTCAATATTCAAACTAACAGATCTATCGTGATCATCCTAAAACATATTATATATATTATATTTATAAATATACTTATTATTTAACATTATAATTTTAGTCTATATAAAAAAAATAATCATTTACAGGATAATCAACTGAATATTCTTGTTCTTCGATTAATTTGTCCAACTGTAATACAACTGCAGGTTGTTGTATTAATTGTGCATCAATCTAAAAGATATAAAATTGAATTTAGAAATTAATATTATCTTAAGTTATACTAATTTTTAAAATTTATTATTGCTTGCTTACTGGTTCAGGTTTTGTTTGTTTATTAAACAATTCAGAAATTGTTTTTGATTCTTGGGCGACTTGCTGTAGTTTTATTTTTTTTGCACGACGGTTTTTAGCCGCACCACCAATTACTTTTTTTTTAAGAAATGTTTTATTCATATCAAAAGAATAATGAGAACACACGTCACGAATATAATTAATATAGGTAGAATAAGCGGTTACTGAACTAAGTATTAACAAAATACAGAATAGTTCACTGTGAATTGTGATACACGACTGTCGCAAGTTGACAGAAGTCTGAGATCAATGATGAATAGGTAAGACTGTAAGAGTGTAAATCGATTGTTGTTTTTAGAATTTGTAATAATTTTAGATTTTAAAAAGAAAACTATATGGGATTATGATATTAATTATTATTATTACTGTGAATACAAGATACAACAATATTGTGTTCCTACTTCCTTTTTCATAACAAAACACACACGCACACACAAAACATACATGCACGTCCCGCATGCGTCTAAATATAAATGTATTCCAACTATCAGTTATTAATTAAAAATATATCATTGTGACTATAATTTCTTAGTAGGCAGACTGTACAATATTTTCTGAAAATATTATAAAAATAATCATGTTTTTACACAAATAAAATATAATACCTAATGGTTAAATGGCAAAAACCGGACACCGGCCCATTGGGCCGCTTTTAAAATCAGACAGGGGCAAATGCCCACCTTGCCCCCCCCCCAAATGACGCCACTGTATAATATATGCCTTGGTTGTTGACTTCAACGACAAAAGAAGTGAGATCTAAATGGGTGCCTATTTAGGATAATACATTGAAGCCTAAGGTCTGACTTGGCTACGAATTATATTATATAATTCGCAAGTTCTAAAGCTTTGAGTTCTTATTTTATTCTTCAGAAAATCATCTTCACTCTTCCATTACTGTTTTAGTAGGTACTTAATAATAATTCGTATATGAAAACTAGCCATGTCAGACGTTAGGCATCAATATATTATCTTAACTTGGCACCCATTTAGATCTCACTCTTTCTGTCGTTGAAGTCAACAACCAAGACATATATTATAGTATTGAACTTGGCTCCAATTTTACACACATGATTTTGGTGGGATAGTAATTAGTAATAATACAGGATGTAACATGAAGGCCTGTTAGATGAAATAACTTTTGTTCTTGTAATATTTTATAATTGTTTTTTATATACTTATATGTTTATTATATTGTATAATTTATAGTCACTTGCGCTACAAGTATAATATAAAAAAATTATTTTTATTCTTTAATATTGAACATAAAAAAGTCAAAAAAAAAAAACAACTTGTAAATCTGATTATAAGCACAATTTTGACGGTAAAAACATTTATCTAAGTTAAGTAGTTTATTTTTTAGAATTTTTTAAAATATCAATATTTTTTTGAATAAATTAATTTATAACGTAATAATACTTTTTTCAAAATATTATTTTTGGGAATTTCCTGATATGAGTATATTTCTTAAATAATTTATTAACCAGAAGATTTTTTCAATTTTTATCCTACGCATGTAATTTTTTTGTCAGTTCTTCTTGTTTTATTTTTTTGGTTAATATTGAATTCATAATATTATACACAGATACATATCATGCATGACATATTGACGTACAATGTGCATTTGAATCATGTCCGTAATATGGTTATTGGTTAGTATACTTACGTCGGAAACGTGATTAAATGCTCTCATTCTGTATAATGTTGAAATAGTTTGAGATCAAATAACTCAACTACTCAATTACTATTAGAATATTATAGGTACTTTCGATATTTTCAGCTATACAGGTAATTCTCAATTTATTATAATATTATAACACCTCATAGTTGTTTTAATATAATATTATTTTCTATCAATTTGTCATATATGTAGGTACCTACCTATTATGATTTGTATAATACATGTGATTTTTTTGGTTTAACTTGTGGTTAGTGTTACTAAAATGTTTGGTATGAATAACTTAAAATAAAAATGTTCCGAGCATGTTCAGCATGCTCTCGCACATCCAAAGAATGATTTTAGCAACTTTTAAATATGTAATACTTGGATTTGTATGCTACTTAATTGGAGTGTCTCGATAAAAATTTTTTTTTTTATCAAATGAAAATCACACTTCTTCGGCCTAATAGTGTATTATATCATTATTATTTATTATTCCATTACATAAAAATAAGTCAGACTGCGGCGGTCGAGTAAATCCGTCGTGCGTAATTCGTATGCGGATCGAGCGCAAGGTACCGTCGCGTCGTCTGCACAAGGTGGGTACTACCTATATATAAATATTATTATTACAAGTCCTGCTGCAGTCGCGGAACCACGTCGTCGACCCAGGGAATATAAATTTAAATCAATAAAATAATAAATGGCGTTTAGAGAAAAATCGTATAATATTATATCGTGCACGCCTATATTATACACTGTACAGTTCCACAGCCAAGTACCGTATATATATATATATATATATATATATATATATATATGTCATGTACATATAAGCGTATTATATAAATATTAAATAATATATACGTCGCACGGGTCGCCATTAATAACAATAATAATAATTATTATATTGCGGTCGCATGAGCTGTTTCGCCGCTGCGGTGCACTGCGCTCGTATTATAATAATAATAATAATAATAATAATAATATAATAATAATATTTTTTTTCCTCTGGAAGAAGCCGCGCGACGGTCGCGTACGCGGAGGGCAATAAAGACGTCTGACTGAATTACCGAGGACGTAAATTATCCCGCGCGTAGCGGAAACCGCAGGCGTCCAGCGTGCAACCTCCGATCGCTCTGTCTCAGTTTATATATTATTATTATTATTATTATTATTAATATGTATTTGTACGCACTGCTATATTATTACCGTGTAGGTAATAATCTCCGAGTGCCCGCGAAATACATAAAATTACTATCGCTATTATTATTATTATTAATATTAAGTGTTGGGGGACAATATTGTACTATAATGTAAGCCCGCAATATAATAATATATAAGTATAGCCAGTGGTTGGAGTGGGGAAAAACCGTAG